CGCAGGATACTTTGGGGACGAACCATACTTTTCTCCAGGGACACAACCCGATGAAGCAAGCCTGACCTCCCTGAGCATGTCCCATGCGGCGTGCGGCAGAACAGGCGTGAAACGCAGGAACAGACAGAAGCCACAGGAGAACGAGAAGAACGAGTAAAGAGGGCGCGCACGTGGAGCCCAGGAAAATAAATAACACCACCTCGAAGTTAGAATGCACGCAGCTGCCGATGCATAGCACAACTTACACACAGCGCGGAGCAGCGCGTGATAGATAGAAACCTAACCCCGGTTGCTATCAAGCCGAAGGAGGGGAGAAAGGGGGAAGGACGAGACGAGGCCAAGAAGACTTGTCGAGTGCAGTTTGTGTGAGAATCCCACATGGTCCAACCGACCATCTATGTAAGCAGGTCGGACACAGCAGCAGGCAGCGGGGAAAGCACAGTACAGTACAGCGGGGGCAGCGACGTCACCGCCGTCGCTGCCCTCGCAGTCGTCGTCGTAGTCGTCGTCGTCGTCGTCGTCGTCGTCGTCGTAACAAGACGCGAGGAAACTGGGCGAGGATCGCACGCCGGATAAGGTGCAAAACCAACGCCAAGCTGGGCGGATGCGCCGAGGCCGCAGGGAGACACGCCAGCGACGGCGACTGCGCGGTCCCTGCGCGGACTCCTGCGGGGGCGGCTCGCGGGACCGGGCGGCCTGCAACCCACCAGCAGCCCCAGGTGGCACAACGCGCCCCATGCGCCAATGGAAGAGTCGGCGGAGGGAGGAGGGGATGGTGGAAAATCAAGGTGGGGAATCCATCAGCACGGCTCGCCTCACTTGTACTGATCCGCGCCTGGGCAGGCCGTATTGTATTGCACGCGCCACTCCTGGAGGTCAGCATCGTGCGTCTGTGCAGGCCCCACCTTGTTGTGGCCCCATGCCCCCGCGCAGGGGCAGTCCTGCGCCGAGCCATGCGTCCCGAAGCTATCCCCGCACCCAAACTCCTAGGTCCACGGCAGGCCGCGGTGAGCACACACCGAGGGAAGGGGAATAGAAAGGGGGGAAACCACATCAGCGCTCTTCCCCGCCCCAGGAGGGGGAGGGGGGAGAAGCGGGGGGGGCGTCTAAGATTGTTGGGCGCCCGAGATGTCCGGGGCAAGTCGGGCCCAGGGCAACTCGGGTTTGGATTCCTGGCGAACGAGCCCGAGTTAGCCCTGACCCGAATTACCCCTGATGACTTGGGGCTCTGGACGCCCGAATTATCCGGGGTAGCTCGGGCCCGGGGTAACTCGGGTTCGGATTCCCGAAAAACGAACTCGGGTTAGCCCTGGCCCAAGTTACCCCTGATGATTCGGGGCTCTGAAATTGCGAGGCTCACATCAGCACCTCTCGCTGGGTCCGGACGGGGGGGTTCCGCGAGCGGTCCGAGCGTCCAAGAGAGCCCAGCTAGCCCAAGATGGCCTCCAATATTGCATAAAGGATAGCCCATGATACTTCAAGACAGCTTCGAATGCCTCCAAGAGGCCCCAAGACGGATCCAAGTGGCCACGGAGCCAAAAAAGGACCCACCCAGAGGCCAACATCTTTCCGAAACCTTTTGGATGTTAGCCAGCGTGGACCCAAACAGTAAGATGTTGCACAGTGGGTGTGTAAGCGATGTGGAACAAACAGTAAACGTGGTGCAAGCTAGAGGCGGCAACGAAGCGGCAACGGGCGGCAACCTGGCGGAACCTCGCTGGGCCCACTTACCTAACGCACGAGACGGCAACAAGGCGGCAATGGGCGGCAATCTGGCGAAACCTCGCTGGATCCACCCAGCGCACGAGGCGGCAACTAGGCGGCAAACCAGGCGGCAACGAGGCGGCAACGTGACGAAAGCCTCGCTGCACCCACCCAGCGCACGAGCTGTAACTAGGCGGCAACGAACGGCAACGTGGCGAAACCTCGCCGGAACCACCAAGCGAACGAAGCGGCAACGAGGTGGCAACTGGGCGACAAAGGGCGGCAATCTGGCGAAACCTCGCTGGTTCCACCTAGCGAACGAGGCAGCAACGAGACGGCAACGAGGCGGCAACGAGGCGGCAACGTAGCGAAAAACATCGCTGGACCCACCCAGCGCTCGAGGCGGCAACGAGGCGGCAACGAGGCGGCAACGTGGCGGCAACTTGACGGCAACGTGGCGAAACCTCGCCGGACCCACCCAGCGCACGAGGCAGCAACCAGGCGGCAACGAGGCGGCAACGGTCGGACACGTGGCGAAAACCTCGCCGGACCCACCCAGCGCACGAGGCGGCAACTAGGCGGCCACGAGGCGGCAACGTGGCGAAACCTCGCTGGACCCACCTGGCGCACGAGGTGGCAACGAGGCGGCAACGGAGCCGTGAGATCCGGGCGCTGCAATTCCTGCCAAGCGGGGCGTTCTCGCCCGGCTCGGGGATCTGGGGCCATCACGGCTCGATCCGGCTCGAAATCTGTAGCAGCAGTTTGTTGATATGCGGGGCCGAGGAATTGGGGAGCGAAGACACGTGCACCTTTCGTGCCCCTTTCGGGCCCCAGAGGACTCCGTGAGGGCCCCTACCGTGCACGAAAGCTGCATCTTTTTTCCGCCCCCCGTGTGCCGCCCCCTCCCAGTACGCAACGCCCGCACAAAGACAGGGTCTGAGGCTCCGGCCACGATTTTTCGCGACGTCGCGCGTCTTTTTCGCACCGTCCGATCTCAGGGCAGTCCTAGGAGGCCTCCCAGACGGGGTCCGAGCAGATGGGGTCGGAGGATCGCGACGCATCGCCGATGCATCGGCGACGTCGGCGCCGAGCAGATCGGGCTGCACATCGAGCCGCACCGCCGACGCATCGGCGATGAAGCGCGATCCTCCGGCCCCACCTGGGAGGCCTGCAGTTAGGTCGGGCATGTCCCTCTACAGGCGGATTTTGGACGAAAAATCAAAAATGGTCCAACGAAACAAACATTCGAACAGAGCCAAACAAATACCAGAAAAATCGTCCCCATTGGAACATTCCTCCTGTAGAGGGACATGCCCGACTTACGCCTGGAGTCCTGCTGGGGGCTCCTCAGAGGCCCACCCCTCCTGCTCGGGCGTTGGCAGAACTGAGCCACATGGAACCTGGTTTAATGATGTGTGCTGGGGGACGCCAACCGGAACTGCCGTCACCCGAAAAAACACCGGCTGCGGCAGACCTAGTTTAGTGACTCTGGCCAATTTAGGGGGCTCCGGGGCCCGGGGCCCTACCACCAGCTGGGTCTCCTTACCCGGGGTCCTGGCCATGCCCGACCTGCCTCCTGGAGGAGCGCTCCTTGAGGAGCCGGCCAATTTAGGGGGCTCTGGGGCCCGGGGCCCCAGGGTCCTGGCCACACACGGCCTGCCTCCCATATGGAGGAGCGCTCCTATGGAGGAGCCCGCCCGCCTCCTATAGAGGCCCCCTGCCCTCGCGGACGGCGCCCCCCTTCGTCCCACGCCGCTGCGCGCGCCCAGGGCGCGACCTGGACGACGCTTGCCTGCTGTCGTGCTGCCTTCTCGTGCGCCCTCGTTCCGTCTCTGTTCCGCCCCTTTCTCGTGTGCCTCGTTCCGTGCGACCTGAACGGTGCTTTGCTGCTCTCGTGCTGTCTTCTGTGCGCCCTCGTTCCGTCTCTGTTCCGCCTCTTGGCTTCGGGGGCGGCAAAGGAGGGGGGCGTCCAAGAGGGGGGGGGGCACATCATGGCCAGCGGCATGTGCGCGGCCCAGGGGGGGGGGGGGGGCCGGGGACGCATTAAAACAATTATCCCAGTGCGACCCTACCTAGGAGTTGGAGCCCCTAGGAAAACAGCATTAGTAGTAACAGTAAAGCTAAGCTAAAGCTAAGCTAAAGCTAAGCTAAAGCTAAGCTAAAGCTAAGCTAACGCTAAACTAAATATAACCTAAGTTAAGCTAACGCTAAGCTAACTATAAGGTAAAACTAAGCTGAAGCTAAGCTACGTCTAAGCTAAATCTAAGCGAAAGCTAAGCTAACGCTAAGCTAAAGCTAAGCTACAGTTAAGCTAAAGCTGAGCTAACGCTGAGCTGAAGCTAAGCTACATATAAGCTAACTTTAAGCTAAATCTAAGCTAACGCTAAGCTAACGCTAAGCTAACGCTAAGCTAAAGCTAAGCTAAAGCTAAGCTAAAGCTAAGCAAACGCTAAGCTAAGCTAAGCTGAATCTAAGCTAAAGCTAAAGCTAAAGCTAAAGTTAAAGCTAAAGCTAAAGCTAAAGCTCCCAAGGGACTGGGGGGAACCGCTCCCAGGGGACTGGGGGAACCGCCCGGGGCGCTTTGCACTGCCCGGCCCCTTAAGCTAAGAGAGTAAGAACCCTTCTAGGCAGAGCCTAGGTAGGGAAAAAGAGGCGCCATGAAATCTGTCGAAATATCCTGGTTCCCGTCATGATATCCGCCCCCCCCCTAGTCATTACCCCCCTCTTTGCTCCGCCTCTTCGCTGCAGAACGAAAGCAAAACGCAAACGGCCCTGGAAATCACGAAAGCAGCGTTTAGCTGGAACCATGCGCGCGCCATCCCGCATGACGTGAGATAGACGAGCGCGTTCCACTACTCGCCAAGTAACTACTCGCAGATGGCCTGGATACGCCGCGGGGGATCTACGATAAACTACCTCAAAGCCGACATGTGTTCTTCTAATGTTTGCGAGCATAGGCACTCTGCGATCAGTGGAGCGCGCTCGGTGATGAGAGGGAAACATCAAGGGGGGGACGTTTTCGAAGGCTCGAGATTCGAGGTTTGAGGGTTTCGCACGAGGAGGAGGAGGAGGAGGAGGAGGAGGAGGAGGAGGAGGAGGAGCATCGACCTGCACATCGCGGAAAGATATGCGATGGGCCCCCGACAACGAATGCGCACGCTCCTGGGCGGGCATGGGCAATCGGGCTCCCGTCGGCGTTTCGTGCGCGATTCGCGGTCGAGGCATCCTCCCCTGAGCCTCATCCCCCCCAACGTTGCCACTCGACGGCCATTGGCACTCGCCCCCCCCTCCCGCGCCTGTGCCAGGCTCGGGGGGCGCTGGCTCGTCGCCGCTGGCCTCCGGCACCGCGACGTAGCCGGAGCGCGCCCCGCGCAGCCTGTCCACGGGCCGAGGGGAGCTCCGAGTGACCAGGGGCAGTTAGCCTCCTCCGCCACCGCAGCCGGCGTCCGCCCCGAGGTCCTGGCCGCCTTGGGATGGCACGCGCACGCGAGTTGCTCGAGGCTGTGGCGCTCCGCGAGCGGCCCCCGGCGGTCTGTGCTGCGTGGCGCGGGATCGTCGTCGTCGTCGTCGTCGTCGCCGCCGTCGTCGTCGTCGTCGTCGTCGTCGTCGTCGTCGTCGAGAGAGAGAGAGAGAGAGAGAGAAAAAAAAAAAAAAGAGCGAGCAGACGACGGCGAACGCGAAGGCGGGCAGCCAGGACGAGCGGGACAAAGCAGGCGGGCGGGCAGGCGGAGAAGGACAAAGGGGGCGACAGCAAGCAGGGCACCAGGGAAGAGAAGGCGAGGGAGCCAGGGGGGCAATCAAGGGGGGGGGGGGCGCCAGGTATCAGAATAGCGAAACACAGCATGAGCCTAGTTCGCGCGCACCTCTTGGATCGGTGCAAGACCTCCCTCCCCTGGAGCGCGGAGCGCGTCAGGGGCGGTGCTGGAGGCGCCGCCAAGGGGGTCACGCGCCGATCCAAGAAAACCGCGCAGACCTCCGACAGGTTGTGGCATTGCAGCCTTTTCCTCCTCGAATGTTCGGACAGGCCGATCTTCGCTGGGCATATATGTGTGTCGCACCTCACTTCGCAGGGCGGCCCACACACGAAAGGCCACAGTGCCATGGCCCGCGGGGCCAGGGGCAACGGACAACCGAAACAATCTGGCCCACTGGCGCCCCGGCGGAGTGACATCTTCGTCGACCGCTTCGCGCAGCGAGCTGACCGTGCCGCACCCCCCGCCTGCGAGGGGGCCATGCCGTCACAGGCCCTGGGGGCACGGGCCGTTGAAGCTCGCGCAGCCGGCGTGCGAGCAGCCCCCCTCCTGCACGCTGGCGTCTTCGATGGAGGCGGCGAGGGGCCCCGAGCGTTCTCCGACGCGCGGCCGAAGCCGTGCCGCGGAAGCGAAGTGGCGGGGTACGATGCCTCGGTTTCGCCTCGGTGTGGGGAGGTGCGGAGGCAGAGGCTAGACATGTGCGCTGGCGGACCCCAAGACCAGGACTATGCAAGAGGAGGGAGGAGAAAGAGCAAGAGGATGAGGAGGAGGAGGAGGAGCAGGAGGAGGAGAATGAGAAGGAGAAGGAGGAGGAGAAGGATGAGGAGGAGGAGAAGGAGGTACAACAACACAGGCACATATGGGGACGTACGAGCAGCGGCGGCAGCAAGGGCAGGGACATCTTTTCGCAGGGCCTCGGTGTGTCTCGACGCCCTCGGCCTGCCTGGGGCGCCCCCCTGACTCTAAGTGAGGGGGGGGGAGCGCAGGAGGAGGAGGAGGAGGAGGAGGAGGAGGAGGAGGAGGAGAAGGAAAAGGAGGAGGAGGAGGAGGAGGAGGAGGAGAGGGAGGAAGGTCCGTATCCATTGTGGCCCAACCCCACTTCCCCCCCTCATGGGGGGCGGGCCGCTGCGGGGATGGACCTCATGGGCCCCAGCCTGGCGCGCGGGCGGCAGCTCTGCGCCAGGGCCAGCCCCGAGCCATGGAAGCACAACGAGACGAGGAACGAGGGGGGCTGCCCGAACGAGTGGCGGCCTTCGAACCAGCGCCAGAGAGAAATCGACCGCTTCGGCGCCTGCAAGGCGCGCCGACTTGCCCGCAGGCGGCGCCGCGACGCCTGCGAGGCGGGGCTTCGCGCAGCTGGCATCAACACAGAGACGAGGTACATCGTGATCCAGGTCCCCAATCAGAGTAAGCCCCACGATGGGCACCAGAGCGACTGGAAGGGCGAGGAGCAGCCCGAGGAGCAAAAGCGGAGCGGCTCCGGGGCGAACCGCTAGACCCCGCGCGCCCTGCGCCGCCAGCGGTCGCCTACCCCACGGAGGCCTACCTGCGGGCGCGTGCAGAGGAGGCTACCCGAGCTGCTGCCGCACGCCGAGCCGAAGCAGCTGGCCAGGCGAAAGTCGAGCGCCAGACGAGGGCTGCACTACCAGACGCACCCACATCAGCGCAGCACCCCCCGATTGCTGGCAAGACGTCCTGTGCGGTGGGGGGGCGCAAACACGCCAGCGCAGCAATCCCCGCTTGCTGCCAAGACGTCCCGTACGGGGGGGGGCGCATCACCGCCAGCGCAGCAACCCCTGCCTGCTGCCATGACGTCCCGTACAGGGGGGGGCGCAAAGGAGTACGAGCAGGAGGACGCGGAGGACAGCGACGCGGACTGCGAGGAGCAGCTCGAGGAGGACCAGCCTGAGCCCGAGAACGACAACAACAGCGCTGGGAGCAGCGCGATCGAGAAGAGCGAGCTAGGCCAGGACGACAAGGAGTGCGACACCTTCCAGAAGAACAAAGCGGCAGTCTGCGCCGCGCTCCGCGATGCAGGCATCGACGGGCCCAACGCCAACACCCTCGCTCACATGGCCGCCCTGAACATGCCCCTCCCAGCCAGGATCGCCGAGATCATCGCAGCCTCCGCCTTCCGGAACACCGGCCACGTCGACGCGTGCGAGGCCCAGCGGATCGGCGGCCACACCGACACCTACGAGGCCCAGAAGACCGACGGCCACGTGAAGCAGAACGAGGCCCAGCGGATCGGCGACCACGTCGACACGTACGAAGCCCAGTGGACCAGCTTCCACGAGAAACAGGACACGAACGAGGCCCAGCGGATCAGCGACCACGTCGACACGCACGAGGCCCAGTGGATCAGCGACCACGTGGAGACGTACGAGGCCCAGCGGATCGGCGACCACGTCGACACGTACGAAGGCCAGTGGACCAACTTCCACGAGAAACAGGACACGAACGAGGCCCAGCGGATCGGCGTTCAAGTCGACACGCTCGAGGCCCAGTGGATCAGCGACCACGTCGACACGTACGAGGCCCAGCGGATCGGCGGCCACGAGAAGAGCTACGGGAGCGACTCCAAGGATGAGAAGGCAACGGGAGCGACCCCAAGGACGAGAAGGTACGACAAGGTGCGCTTCAACGAGGACCCAGAGATCTACACCTTCGAGGTGATGCCCGAATCCCCAGAGACGGCCTTGGAGGACCAGTACGACACCGAGGACGAGGAGGAAGACCCAGAGAACGACACCGAGAACCTGCCCTACGACTCAGCCGGCCCAGCCGACGACGGCGACGCCCGCTACAACGACGCGCCCCAGGAGAACGCCTCCGACGGCGCGCGCCCGCCACCAACCTGGAGACCCAGCCTCCGCCCCACAAAATGGTCCTCGGCCACGGTTCCGACCTCAACGACGGCCTCGAGGGCGCCGACTGCGTCAACGCCCTACGGGGTACGGCGCCGTGGCCGTAACAAGGCCTCAACGAGGCCTACGTGAGCAACCTCCTGGCGCTCAGGCACACGGCCCACCGGTACGCCACCTTCACCATCGTCGACGCCCCCGTCAGGGGTGAGCGTGCCGCCCTCCTGCCAGAGAGGAGGGTAGGCGGCCCCGGGGGGGGTGGGGGAGGCCGACTCCCATGCCTGAGCGGCAGCTGCCGCGGGCGGCGGCTTCGGGCCGCGGCCCTCCACCTCGACCCCTCCCCCCCCCTTTCAGAGGCCCTGGAGGCACCTCCTTCCCCTTCCCCTTCTTCGGTCGGGGGGGGGCCCGAGGACCCCTGAGGCCCCTGCCCCCTCGGAGGCTTTTCGAGGCGCTCGGAGATCTCTGAGGACTTCGGAGGCCTTCCGTCGCGACGGAGCGTCGGCCGCGGCCGCTTAGGCCCGCGGCGCGGCGCGGGGCTACGGCGACTGGACCGCCAAGGCCGCAGCGCAGGAGGAGGAGGAGGAGGAGGAGGAGGAGGAGGAAGCAAGAGGGAGGAGGAAGGATGATGAAGCATGAGGAAGGAGGATGAAGCAGGAGGAGGAGGAGGAGGAGGAGGGGAGGAGGAGGAGGAGGAGGGAGGAGAGGAGGAGGAGGAGGAGGAGAGGAGGAGGAGGAGGAGGGAGGAGGAGGAGGAGGAGGAGGAGGAGGAGGAGGAGCAGCAGATGGAGATGGAGGAGGAGGAGGAGGAGGAGGAGGAGGAGGAGGAGGAGGAGCAGATGGAGATGGAGGAGGAGGAGGAGGAGGAGGAGGAGGAGGAGGCGGTTGCGCACGCATAAGGTCTGGCCAACGCCAAAAGGAGGAGGGGAAGGTTGCGGGAGGGGGGCCGCAATAATGTCGCCGCGAGAGGCGGCCGCACCGCCAGTGGCAGTGGGTGTCGACAACAGGCCGAGCCGAAGGCGCCCAAGTGATTCGGCCGAAGCCTCCCCGCACGACGCACCTGAGCATCGCTTAACCGATCCCTATCCCCACTCGCGTGGCCTGGGCCACACTGGCCGGTTCACCCCCTAGATGGGGATAAAACCCATTTCTGTCAGATCTCGATGGACATATCCCAAACTGGGGGGATGAGATGGTGGGGGTCTGGATGGGGATGGGGATGGGGATGGGGATCGGTGAAACGATGCTGAGCACCTGTTCCTCCTCTGGCCAGGTGGCAGCACCGTTTCGGAGTCCTGCATGGGCTACGCACGGGACGCCGACCGGGCCCCCCAGAGGCCGAAATCGAGGGGAAACCGCCGGATGGAAACGATCCTGTCCCGCGGAGATCTGGTTCTTGAGGTTCTCCAACACGGTGGATCTCTGCAGAGGCCTCCTAGATGGGGTTGGAGTAGATGGGGTCGGAGGATCGCGCCGCATCGCCAATACATCGGCGATGCATCGCATATGTATCAGCGATGCACCGGCGATGCATCGTCGACGTCGGCGATGCACTGGCGACGTTGACGACAAAAAAATCGGGCCCTACACCGAGCCGCATCGGCGATGCATCGGCGATGCGCCGCGATCCTCCGACCCCATCTGCCCTGAGATCCGACGTTGCGAAAAAATTGCGACATCGTGAAAATCACGACCAGACGCCCAGATCCCATCTTTCTTTGTAAATGTTCGAGTCGGATCGATCTGTGAGGGTCCCGGGGCCCGAAACTGAGCGAAACCGCCCGGCTCGAAAAAGTTGAGTCGCCAGGATCCCGGGGTACTCCGACCCCATCCAGGAGGCCTAGACTCAGGTCGGGCGTGTCCCCCTACAGGCAAATAAATTTTGGGCGAAGAATGAGAAATAGTCAGAACAGATTCCCAAATAGTCAAAAATGCTAGAAACATCGCCCCCAGACCATATTTTACTGTTGTTGCATATCCCTCCTGTAGAGGGACAGGCCCGACTTGCGCCTAGACTCCCGGGACCCTGCAGGTTCTGGAGCTCATTCTGCACCCACCGTCGTTGGCCACGGACGAAACATGTGAGAGTGGCCCTTTCTGGTCGCCACCTCTCGCAGGGCAGCCCGTCGGTGTGGCTGGACGCCTCCGCTCCGCTCGCGTGCACACCTGCTTGGCGGCGCGCAAAAGGGGGTAGTGGGAGGGGGGAAGGCTTCTTAGAAGCACTCTGCTTCTTAGAAGGCCTCGGCCTTACGTCTATAGAGAAGGCCCGCGCCTTCTAAGAAGCAGGGGTGCTTCTAAGAAGCCCTCCCCCCTCCCCCTGCCCCCCCTCTGCGCGTGGCTGACCTGCCTTCGTCGACTGGCCCTCTGCGGCTGTCCGCGGGACCCTCGGGCTCCCGCCGCCTCCCGCCGGCGCGGACCCGCCGACCCCTCCGCGGGCGGACCCGCCGCGCCCCTCCCGCCGAGCTCCGCCGGCCTCCCGCCCGCGGGCGAGGCGCGCCAAGCGCGCGGCCCCTCGGCGGCACCTCCGACCCGGAGGACGCCAGTCTCGGCGGCGAGGCTCGAACCTCAAGGCTCTAGGAGCCCGTTCTTTTTTATTGAGAGGGATCTCCATTTCTTTGTGAGTTCTTCCCGTTGCTCTCCCTCTCTTCTTCTCTCTTCTTCCTCCCCCCTCCCGCGCTTTGTGCGACACGCGGGCGTCCACCCGGCAATGCCTCTGTCCACCTAGCTGTTGACCCTGTAGGGTAATCCACAGGTGCCGCCTCTGCCGTTCTGTGCGGACTTTGTTGGCGCTGTCCGAGGCCCTAGGAACCTGTTCTTCTTCATACCCAGGCAAGTTTACCTGCATGGCGTTGCCCCCCCCCCTCCCTCCCACTCGCCCCTCCCGTTGACCTAAGGAACCCTAAATCAGGAACGAGGCCCCTTTTTTCCATGGGTCATACTTCGATTTCCCGTCGAACAGGAGAACCTGAGGCAAACTGTTGAACAATCAAGGAACACCGAGCCCCTCCCCAACGAGAAGGGTTCCTTCTTCAGGGCCCCGACTGTATGGCCGCCGGGAACGCAAGGTATGACCCGAAGAGCAAACTCGGCGGCGCGTCGAGGGGGGGAAGTGAGAAGGAGAAGGCCCTCTCAGCGGCGGGGCTTCTCGGGAGCCCTCCGGCCTCCTGAGAGGTTGTCTGCGTCTTCGGGGACTGCCCAGGACACTTGTCAGAAGGCTCTTGGACTCCAAGCCTTCCGAGAAGGCCCGCCCTCTCTCACTTCCCCCCGGGCTCGCCGCCGAGCAACGTCGACCGCTAGAGGTGTGGACCCCTGCCCCACGACTGGCCTCTCAATCCCGAGCTCTTGCTTGACGGCCCCGGGGCCCAGCGAGGGCCCCCCGAAGGCCGAGAACGGCGAAAGCAAGCCCCCGCCCCAATGCTTTCGCGCCGGCGATACACTAGGGGCCCGACCACAAGAAACCTCTCACTTCCCCCCCGGTCGCGCCGCCGACGACACGCAACTTCTCGGAGGCCCGCGCGGACTTCTTGGGCCGGCGCTGGAGGCCCCCGGCGGCGCCTCGTGCGCCGCCCCGTGGCGCGCTCTGCGTGCCGCGGAGGGGTCCGGCGCCGCTCTCCGAGAATTCTCGCAGGCCCAGAGGTCGACACCACCACCAAGCTCGGCGGTGTGCCTCCACCGGGGGAAGACGATGCCGATCCCGGCGACGGTGGAAATATCCTGGCTTCCAGGGTGACCGAAACATTGCCACCAACACCGCAATCTAGGAGGGCGCGCCGCTGGATGACCCCAAGGGGGGGGTGGGAACCCTCCCCCCTCTTCCTTTCCCCGATCCGTCGTCGGGGAATCCCCCCCCCCCTCCCCCCCTTTCCCGATCCGTCGTCGGGGACCCCCCCCCTTTTCTCCCAGTCCGTCGTCGGGGAACCCCCTCTCCCCTCCCCTCCTTTCAAAAGGGGCGGGAGGGGGGTCCGACCCGAAATGGAACGAATTACAACCGACTGGTCCCAAGTCCAACCGTTCGGAGCGAATTGTAACCAGAAATGAAACCAATTCCAACCAGAGATGAGACCAATTACAACCATGGATGGGATCTTCGGAATTCCTCCGGATTCTTTCGGATTCTTCGGAATTCCTTTGGAATCCTTCGGATTCTTCGGATTCTCAGGATTCCTTCGGAAACGGTACTCAGCGCAAGGGAAAACGGGATATTCGGCGCGTTTGCATGCATCCCCGGCAGCAGAGGGGGCTAGTATCCCACGGCAGGCTTGCCCTCATCTGTTCTCTGGATGCCTTGCAGCTGCCTGCGGGGACAACCGCTCGCCGCCGTGGCGAGAAAAAAAAACGCTTTCGGATTGCATTTGTGCGTGCCGCCACCGCCAGCTTTATTCAGAGATGCCTCTCGGCACGCTCCGCCCCCTCGCGGCTGGTTGGCAGTTGGTTGGTGGCCTGGTTGGCTGGCCGGCTGGTTCTTTGGCTGGTTGGCTGCTTGGTTGGCTCGCTGGCTGGTTGGCTGGTTGGTTGCCTGCCTTGCTGGTTGGTTGGTTTGGTGGTTGGCCTACACGCCTGCGCCATCTCACATGCCGAGGGGCCCGCCCGCTCGCGGATTGCATTTCTCCGTACCATTACTACCACTACTACTGCGACCACGACCACGACCACGACTACGACTACAACTACAGTTACTACTACTACTACTACTACTACTACTACTACTACTACTACTACTACTACTACTACTACTACTACTACTACTACTACTACTACTACTACTACTACTACTACTACTACTACTACTACTACTACTACTACTACTACTA